TGAATCTGATATGAATGTTAACTTTATTTGAATGTTACAAACAAAAAATTAACAAAACAAAACAACTTTTTCTCAAATTTTTTCTCCACTGACATCTCAAAACCTCTTGAGAAGGCCGTTTCTGTTAAACTGTTGCTCAAAATATAGGAAAAATAATAGATAAAGCATGTACCATCTATTGGTACCTGTTTGGGCACACGTTGCAAATCCACAACGTTGAAATCGAGATGCATCTGGTGAAAAACCCAGAGGAGATAAAATCTACTAACTGGCATGTGTCATATCTATACACATTCATGATTCATCTGATGTAGTATTGATTTCAAAATAATAGAAATTGGTAGTGATACTTAGAGAACTGCTATGATATGAAATTGGTGCTTAGAAAATCTGTTTCAGTGACACAAAGGACTCAGCCATGTTGAAAATGAGTCAACAGCGCCATCTGGTGAGCTGGAGAGAAACTGTTTTTTTTGCAAATGCACAACTAAGTCCTTATGTTGTACTTCTGAGTAACAAAAGCTCTTAAAATATGGATGTGGAGTAATTAGCTAAGTAGCAAATCTAAGTTGCAAATCTGCAACATCTGCCTGGAGAGGGTTAATTATTATGGAAATAATATTTTTCGTTATTACGTCCAACTTTATGCCTTAGAACCTCGTCTTTCTTTTACGGCTGCTCTCAGAATGCCAGTAGAACCAAACCAGTTAGAATATTTGAACGTTTGTGCTGCAATAATAACCTGAAATGTGCCCAATTATAGCAGCTATGAGTTAATGCCTCTTAATCTCTTAGTATAACATGAATTGATGATGTCTCCCCCTGGTGGTCTGGAGGTCTTCTGCTTTGCAGCGCTTATTTAAATAATTTAATAATTTTGAATTTGTGTTTAAGTCTAATTTCTGAGTTTGATGTGAAATCGCGTATTAAGACGGAGCTGCTGACCTCGGCTGGAGACCAGAGTAACGTAGAGTCCGATCTAGGCAGAAAAGCTCTGTGCTGCTGCTGGAACATTTGGGTCCATCAGGCAATAAACAGGAAGTTAGAACTCAGCTGAGATGACCTCGTCTTATTTTCCCATCATGCTTTTCTGCCTCTCCAGGTGCTTCCATGTAAAAGAACGACGCGTCATGAAGAAAGCAGCTGCATTCTGGTCAGTTTTCTGCCCGGCAACCACCTGGATAAAGAACCTGATTGGATTAAAAAAGCTGCAGCGCTAAAAGGAAACTCTGCTCCGGGTCCAAACGGGTCAGACTGTCACAGTAAAATCCGCTGAGCTGTAGGTGCTCTGTGTCACAAAACGCATGACTTTTTTTTTTTTTTTCTTCCATCCTCTGGCATCTAAAATCTGCAGAACCTTCTGCAGAACCTCAGCCGCAGATCTGTCTCATTTCCTCTGGTTGGTTGCTTGTTTTTCTGGATTCTGATCCGAACCGTCCTGCGGGTCGGGCTTTAAGCTCAGAGAAGCAGATTTGGACGCTGGCTCTCAGAACGATTGGCAGAAACTGTTTAACCCGTCCACCATATTTGGAGGGGAAACGTCAGGCAGGAGCAGGTTCAGGGGAACAGGAACCGGCGGTGGGTTCAGGATCTTTCCATCTGGACCAGCAGACAGGAGCACAGAGCGATCCAGGAGAAACCGGATCAGGAACATTACTGAACCGTCTCCTTTGTTCTCTGTAGCATGTTGGACAGAACCTTCAGGTCCAGCTTCTCCAGAACCATCCAGAGCTGAGTGGGCGTGTCCCTCTGTGTTCCGATTGGACCGAAACCTGTGTTTCCTCCAGCAGGGGGAGCCACCCTGGCTGGAAGGAGACAGCCTGACCTACGAATGGATGGAAAAACCGTTTAGATCCACCTGGTTCTGAGAACGACACCAGAACAGAAAGACGTGCTGAGGTCTGGAGGTCCAAACGGTTTCAGCAGGAACCGGATTTATGGTCCATAAAATCACAACAGACGGTTCCTGATGAAGCTCCTCCTCCTGTTTGATTTCAGAACGGTTTACCCTCCCAATATGGCCGCCACCGTGCAGCTGCTGTTGGTCTGAACATCGCCAGACCTGCTCATCTCTTCTGGAAAATCTCAACATATTATTCCCTTTATTTGCTATTATTTTACATTTCATCTGCGATCTAAAGTAGCCGAAAGTAGAAAACAATCATTGTAAGTCTGGAAAGAAAGACAGACTGAGCTCTGCTATTTAACAAGTTTATTTTTATTCTTTTTATTCAGATCTGAGGACAGAGGAGGACAAAAAAACTTTCATAGAGATTTTAGAAAAACTAAACAGTTATTTTATGTGTAGAAAACAAACGGTTGCTGTTGAGATGAATTTAAAAGTAGTGTAGCTTAATATGGCTAACTGAGCGAGCTAAAAGAGGCTAACCTGTTAGCTACAGCTAGCCACAGCGCTAACAGTTACTTTGTTCACCAGAAGCAGATTTTTTTCAGTTTTTTTCATATCGATCCGGTAAAACTTCATCATTAGACACGCTAACGCTACAGAAGCTCCCGACTCGGCACAATGACGCTTTCTGATGTTATTATCGTTGTCTAGGCAACCACAATGTTTTACATCATGTGGCAACGTTCAGCCAATCATGTAGCGTCGCTGGCAGGAAGCAGATCTGGGAGCTACACCGTTAAACTTGTTCCTGCAAACTGGGCAGAAAGTTAGCAGGAAATTATTAATATGTTTTATTATTAAAACGTTTAATTATCAGGTTGATCTTCTTTCAGACGAATAGGATTTATTCTTTTAAGCTAATAGAAATGATTTAAAATTCACTGTAATGTGATAAAGAACCAAAGACGGCAGAATTAAAATAAAAAAACAAGTTAATGGGGGAAAGAAATTAAATCAATGATACATTTAAGAGTTTTTTTTTTTTAAAGAAATCAGTCCCTGAGCTGAGTTTTATTATATGGTTAAAAAAAATTGTAAAAATTTAAACTAAACCTAAAAAGTGGTTGTTTTCTGATTTTAGAGGAGGATATATTTTTTTTTCTATTTAATATGGAGTTTATTTCTGGTGTAACTGTAGTTAAAATAAATTTGGGTTTAAACTGGGCGAACTAGGCGCTAAAACCTTCCTGGGAACCAAAGTGTGGCCTAAGCACCTAGAAAGATCTGGGAACCACTGATGTTTAGGAGCAGGAACCAGAAAATGTGGAAATCTGTCTGCACAGATGAATAATTTATAAGCACACAGATAATTTGGTGGATTTAATGAGAGATTAAGAGTCTGAAATGTTCAGGTTTCCAAATATGTAAATGAATTTCTGCATGAATAAAAGAAATACAGGCATGAGTTAAAGAAGCACATCGACGAGGCGCCTCTACCTCCACAGATCTAGACCGGCTGCTTTGGAAAATATAAAATAATCGCATGAATTTGGCTGAAAGGATGAACTGCTAATGTTCAATGAAAAGAAAAACAGTGAGTCAGAAAAACAGAAAAGAAGCTTTAAAGCTGAAGCACAAACCGAGCCTCCAAAATACCTCTGATCTTCGTACCGCGCCGTGCTATAATCCTGCATGTTAGAATAATCTGCCTTTCTACTCGTTTTATTAATCTGTGTACGATGATTTCCACACTGGAAAAAAATCTAAATCTAGATAAGTCATTTTTTCTTAAAATAAGAGCATTTCTTCTTAAATTGAGGAGATTAAAGAGACATTTTGCCAATGGAAGAAGACAATTTAGATTTAAAATAAGAAAACACAATTGGATCTTCTTATTTCAAGTGCATTTCATCTAATTATCTTATTTTAAGGGTAAAAATACTCATTCCATTGGCATATTATCAAATGTACCTATTCAAATCAAGGGTAAATGCACTTAATTTAAGAAATGTTTACTTATTTCTAGATCATTTTTCCAGTGCACACAGCAGTACATGACTTATCTGATTTAAAGTTTTTTTAAAATTGGTTTTATAAATATTCCAAAGCACTAATAGAAACATCCTTGCAGAAAAGTAAACTAATGAAATCATTATTTAATCTTAATCTATCAAACATCCTGAACAGTGAGGATTAAACAGAAGTGGTGAAAACAGAAGTAAATATATGGCGTCAGATCCTCCTACGAGCAGCTTTACTTCATACAGACGCTCATAAACTTTTCCTCACGCGCATGTTTAGCGTGTTACACGTGCAAATAGAGAACCTCAGGGCCCCAATTTATCCGACACAAGAAGGCTTGTTCCTTCTCTGTGCGTATGCAGCCTCCCTCCTCCTCTGGTGTGGACCCGTTCCTTTGTGCTCACGTCAACTTTTGACACTTTGAAGGCGTTACCCCCACAAAAAAAACAACCCTTCTCTGATTGGTTACATTTCAGGAATTCCCGCCTCTTGAGGCTGTGGTCTTCTTCCTACTAGCAAAGCTCCTTTAGGCTAACTGTGTTGTCACTACCCGTTCTGTCACGTTAAAAATACCTAAACGACGTTATTCCCGCCCCAAAAATATTAAGTGTACTAAAATATAACGTGTTAAAGGTCAGTTATGTATTTCCTGAGAACATAAATGCCTTAAAATCCTGTTTTATCCCTCATCTTTTCCCGATCTGCACCGGAAATGGGATGCTACGCTACATCCAGGAGCTAACTTTTACACTGGAAAAAAATCGAAATGTGGATAGTCATTTTTTTCTTAAAATAAGTGCATTGGTTCTTATATTGAGGAGGTAAAAGATACATTTTGCCAATGGAACAAGACAATTTACATTTAAAATAAGAAAACACATTTGCATTGTCTTATTTCAAGTGTATATTATTTAAATACTTTATTTTAAGAGTAAAAATACTAACTCCATTGGCAAAATCTCTCATTTACCTGCTCAAATTATGGGTAAATACACTTAATTTAAGACATTTTTTACCTATTTTTAGATCGTTTTTCTAGTGTATCAGCTTTGAAATTAAACATTTTTGAGTTTTATGTTTTCCTTTCATGTTAAAATTATGCTATATAGCGCGTAATCTAAAGAAAGAAACAACTAAAATGCAGATAAACATGGTTTAATCAGATTTACTGCTCTGAGCGTGTGCCATGATGACAGCAGAGAAGCTTTTTATTGATGAAAATGGGAAAAACATCAAAATTGTCTCAGAAAATTCATAAAACATTTTTTTAAAGATGTGTATTAGCATTCTGTAGAGAGTTAAGGATAGAAATAAGTAATTTTGATACCATAATTACATTATTTATGGACACCCAGATGTATATCTGTTAGCGCAGGACGGATCACGCTTCCGGGACGGATCGTGCTTCTGTGACGGATCGTGCTTCCAGGGGGTTAATGTAGCGACATGCTTCTCTTAAAGAGTTGGAAGTTTGTAAGCAAAGTTCTTATTAGATATAACATGGTCTGGATAAATACTGGATCCTGATTGGCTGCAGGGCTTCCCTTAAAAAGGGTTATAGGACATCTACAAAAAAAGTTCCGATAGTGTCAGCTAGCTCAAATTTAATCTGGAAACGGGAAAACAGTTTACGCAGGTTACCTTCGCAACCTGAAAAGTATCTTATTACAAGCGGGTTGCTTTTTCCGGTTGCTAACGCCTTCAAAGTGACAAAAGTTGACAGGAACGCACCGAGAAGGTCCAGACGCAAGCAGGAGGGAGGAAAGCACATATTGGGGCACCGTGGTGTTGTGTTTACAAACGTAACACGATAAACAGGCGCATGAGGAGACGTTTATGAGCGTCTGTGTGATGCAAAGCTGCTCGTTGGAGGATTTATTGCCTGTGTGGATTTTTGGCAGAATTCTGACGCCATATAAATACTACAATAAGACGTTTCTATTTATAAAATGTTAGATTTGAAAATAAAGTCATAGTTTTACAAAACTGAAGGCATATAGTTATGAATAAAGTCATATTATTGAATCAGTGGGAATAAAAACAACATTATAATAATAATTATTGAATACTACTAAAATAAAGACATAAAATTACAATAACGAGATAAAGTCATAATATAATGAGAGTAAAGTTATATTGACAAAATTAATTGGTTATAACATGACATTAAAGTAAAAAAGTACAAGATTAAAATTGGATAATAACCAGGTTAAAGTCAAACTAGAGTAAAGAAAACTACAAATTAAAAATTTTAAAACTATGGGGTAAGCGCAGTAAAGTCACAAGTTTAAACTCATAAAATTACAAGACTAAAGCTGTAAAATTACAAGATTACAATCATTACATTTACAGAATAAAGTTGGAATTTTAATTTGAATGAAATGGTAACATTATGAGATTTGAGTCTTCAGTATGAGAAATGGAAAAAAAATTCCTTACACGAAAATATATTAATTTACGGCGTTAAAGTCGTAACATTACATGAAAAAAGTTGTAACTTTACTTGTAAAGTTGTAATATAAGTTTAACAGCATATTACCAGATTAACTAAGTAGCTTATATTAGCTAAACTCTTGTAGCAGTAAAAATGTTTTGCTGCAGTTTGTTTGATCTTTGTTGACTGCTCTGCTAAACTTTTATTTTTCTTTTAATATTATTTTTTTACTCTAATATTAATCTAAATGTATTTCCATATTATACATTTATTTTTTTTAGTTTATTATCATAAAAAATATCCTAGTATGGCTCTTATACTCCATCGACCTTTGATTCTGTTTTAGCCAAAGCTAAGTTAGCACAGAGGCTAACATTAGCATAGTCAGAAGCTTTTTAAAGCTCTCTGAATATAAAATTAGCTATGGTTAAGTTTAAATTGTTTACAATTTTTTTAAATGAATGGTATTTAACTATGTTTTGAAACTTGTGCCAAAAACTATTCCCCTTTGATGTTGATTGTTTTTAGTTTTACCCTGAGCTAGGCTAGCTTTGGCCAGCATGTTAGGCTAATATTAGCATAGCAGTAACCTGCTGAGGGTTAAATCAAACTTAAATTAGTGAAATCGTATCATTTTTTTCAGCTCTGTTGAGGAACTTTTTCTGCTTAATTTTACTCTGAAACTAAAGGATACGTTTTCGTGTATTTTTCATATAATTTTGTGAAAAAAGCAGCAAAAGTAGCATTTTGAGGTCTTTAAATTGTGATTATACTGCCCTAATGTTTTAGTTTTAAGTCAGAATAAAACTAAAGTAAAATAGCTTTGATCAACACTGATAAGTCGTTCAATTAAGAGATAATAACATTTCCATGTTTTCTCGTTAAAGACCGAAAACCTCCCAGGCTACGAGGCGGCGCCTCTACAGACCAATGGGCCCTTTTCTGTCCCTTCATACTGGA